GGCGGGGCGGGCCGAGGGGCGCCGGGGCCTCACCGTGTAGTTGCGGAAGCTGCCCTTGTCTTTGGGGGCCTCGGGGTCCACATCCGGCCGGTACACCAGGGAAGGGTCGGGGCCCTGGTGGGGTGGGTGGGGAGCGAGACCCTTGAGCACGAAGCCGGCTCCGCGAGGGCACGAGGACGCGGGCGAGGCCGGGGGTCCCCGCACCCTCTGCGGGCCGGAACCCGAGGGATGCGCCGCGGGCGCCTGCGGGGATGCCGTGGCGCGCATCCGCACGCCTTCTCCGGCCGAGTCCCGCGGGGGGCCGGGGCCGACCGCCCAGCCAGCCCCAAGCAGGAAGGTGAAGCTCTTTGGCAGGAAGGCACGTGGGGCCGCCGCCTGCCACTGACCGTGGTCACTCACCACAAGCACCTTCATCCCGGCAGAGCTGAGGGCGGCGCAGCCGAGGGCCTATATATGCCCGCAGGTTACATAAGCGGCCGGGCACCACTGGCCCCTTGGCCTTGGCGCTCGCTAATGAGTGACCGCCGGCCCCCTCCTGGCCTCAGCAAGTTAATGTGTCAGCGCGGCCCCCAGCGGAGGCCCTGGGCTCCTGACCCCAGCTGCCGCCCCCCCCCCCCGTGCCACCTGCCTGGCCCTGCGCTCGCCCGCCTGCGCCCAGTGGGGCTCACTGAGCGGATGGTGTGCCCGCCCCTCCTTGGCACAGGGCGGACTACTGGGGGCTCAAGCAAGCGGAGCCAGTCCCAGGGGACACAGCAGGGCGGGGAGCGGAGCCGGTCCCCGGGGGCTGGAGCTTGCCCAGTGAGTCCCCCCACACTGAGGGCGCTCCCCAGCGTGCGGGGTGAGGCCGACTGGAGAAGGGAGTGCAGGCAGCTGGCCGGGTCGGGCCCTGGAGGGGGTCTGCAGTGGGCAGATGAAACCAGACAGCAGTCAGCGTCTGGGCTGGACACGGAGCCCGATGGCCGACAGGCCCAGGGCCACCCCGCGGGGCGGGTAAACGCAGCCTTGGGCGCCTGCAGCGAGGCTCCGTCTGCGAGATCAGGACCTGCCACTGCCCAGGCAGAGAGAGGCAGCAGGTCCTGCCCCCGGCTGCGCCCACAGCCTGGTGGGGTGCTGGTGCCACAGCCATGGCCCGACGGGGGCACAACCGGAAACAGGTGCCCTGTGTCCCCACGGGGAAGAGACAGGGAGCTGGGGCCCCCAGGGCCCTCGGGGGCTCCGGGCTCGGGGGACCAGGGGGAGCAGGGCACAGCCCCCTGGCTCTGGACGCTGGTGCCAGGAGGGGAATGGGAGCTGGGGCTCCGTGTCCCCACGGTGCCGGAGGGCTGCAGCCCTGGAGCGGGGCCGGGTCACGACCCCGTCGCTCCAAGGCAGGCTCTGGGCCGAAGGCGATGGCTGCAGGCGGCACCAGGCGCGGGGCGGGGCCCTGGCAGGTGACCCGTGGCTCGCTGCTGAGCTCAGCCGTCCTCAGCCCTGGGGGCGCGGCCCAGGCCAGCTGGCACAGTGGAGGGCCCGGGCCCTCCGTGCGGGCACCAGGCACAGGGGGGTCACTGACGCCCCGCACTTGAACTCCTGCACCCAGGGCAGCATGGCCAGGTCCCGCTCGTTGCACAGCTGCCGGTAGTCGCCGCCCGTGTGCCACGGGTAGAAGGAATGAAACCGGATCATGTAGAAGGCCTGGGGGGGACCACAGCCAGGCTGGGTGCCTGCGGGGGGCCGGGGGGCGGGCTGCGGGGCGGCCCCCACCTACCTCTGGGGGGAGGGAGAACTTGTTGAACTTCATCATCTGGTACAGGTACTCTGTGGGAGAGGGGTGTCAGGAGGGGCGGCGGGGGGGCGCCCACCCCTCCCCGTGGCTCACCATCATGGCCCCAGGACATGAGGACGTTCTCGAGCCCACAGTGGGGCTGGTACATGCCGAGCTCCGTGCTGCAAAGAGACGGGGACTCAGGGCTGTGGGGGGGGCTTCGGGAGGAAGGCGGGGGCGGGGTGTACCTGTATCGAGGGTCCTCAAGGTCGGGGTTGTCCTGGAAGGTGGAGTCACGGAAAACCACGGAGGCCTGGGGGCGGCAGCCCACGGGGAAGGTGTCCCCAACGACAGCCCACTGCGGAAGGACAGTGCAGGGCCAGGCCCAGGCCCGCGGCCCACCCTGCCCCCGCCGGCCGCCCTGCACTCACCTGGGGCTCCCCTGCCAGAGCCAGGACCTTCCCCAGGTCGTGCAGGAGCCCCACCAAGTGGAACCAGTCTGGGGGAGAGCCAGCAGGCCGGTGAGGCGCCCGCCCTGCGCAGGGTCCGGAGGACCCAGGCCTGGCCTAGCCCTGCCCAGCCCTCAGGGGCAGCACCCAAGGCCCGGGCGGGGCGCACCCTTGTCGGGGTGCGCCTGCCGGATGCCCTCCGCCGTCTGGAAGGCGTGGAAGGAGTTGGGGAAGTCCACATCGGGGTCCGACTCGTCCACCAGCCCGTCCAGCATGTCCACAGCCTCCAGGACGGTCATCTTCTTGTAGGAGAAACTCCCGAACTGGGCGTGCTGGGCAGGGGGAGATGGTCAGTTCCCCCTGGCCACACAGGTCGGCCGAGCCCGGTGCAGCTGAGAGGCCTCTGGTGCTTTGGGGGGGGAGTGGGGGGGCGCTCCCCAACTACCTTCCTCCTGACAAAGTCCACCGTCTGGTGTCTGTGCATGAGCTGGTAGGTGGCGAAGACGCGGTCCAGGAGCGGGCCGGACTGGGGGCCAGAGGCGCTGAGTGAAGGGTCAGGGAGGGCCCAGGAGGGGCGGGCGGGGCAGAGCGGGGTGGACGGC